TGGAACAAAAGAGATCCAGACACTGCAAAAGAGCAGCATGCTGAGGGTGATAAATTTGGCTTCGTTGAAACTATCTGGGAGGTTCCTGCCAAGGAAAGCCACCATAAAGCTGATCATAGCCAAGAAGCCAATGAAACCCAGGACAGAAGCAAACATGGCAGGGGAGCCTTCATTGCACTCCAGGACTACTTCTTGAGGCAGAGAGTGCATGTCACGATCTGGGAAGGGGGCAGAGCTCGCCAGCCACACAGTACAAAGAGTGGTTTGAACGAGGGAGCAGGAAAGCACCATAAAGAGGGCCAGCCTTTTCCCCACCCAGGTCCTCATCTGAGAGCCTGGCCTGGTGGCCATGAAAGCCAGGGCCACAGTGAGGGTTTTGGCCACCACACAAGAAACAGCCCCAGAGAAGATGATGACAAAAGCAGTTTGGCGAAGGAGACAGGTTGCCTTCTGAGGCCGACCGATGAAAAGCAAAGGGCAGAGAAAGGAAAGCAGAAGGGAGAGCAGGAGGGTGTAGCTGAGGCCCCGGTTGTTGGCCTTGACTATGGGAGTGCCCTTGTGCTGAACAAAGACCATGACGTCCAGGGCTTTGATGGAGGAAAATAAAATGGCAAAAAGGGCCAAAGTGATCTCCAAAGGCTAATGGAACGACAGTGTAAGAAATAGGACACAGGTAGCTTTGTTGTTTTTACAGCAGCTTAAGAGATAAATCAATAAAGAGAATTGTTTATGGCATAATAGTTATGGCTTTGGACAAGCAGAAACAAACAAACAATTGTGAAAAACAGAAAAAGGGGAAGAATGTAAATAGCTGCAACAGGATGCAGCTACCTTAACCACAGACTGTAGGTATTTAAGAAACTACAGGAACACAGTAGCCTTTAAGATGGCACATAAGTAGAAGTACCAAATATGGACAATTGTAAATGAGGGTAAGGGGGCTTTGGAGTAGAGAAATGGGAGATGTAAACTAAGGCGGGACTTCCGGGAATTGTATTATGCGTATCGGATAGGTTGCAAACTCCGTGGTACCTGACCAATGGGGAACCGGAGGAGGGCTTTTTGCATCTGTGATAGGGAATATAAGGAAGACCAATTGCTAAGATCTGGGTCCACCTCATTGCT